GGAAACCCTCATGTGAGTAAAGAAAGCAAGAACTTACAGCCTTCTGGACAGACTCATTGGTGACTCTTGGGGAAGACCTCCTCGAAGACAAAGCATCAGCGTTGGCAGTGAAGAAACTCTGAAAGAGAGGAATATTAAAGAGTTGTAGGGTTTTTTCAAACGAAGGGTTCACTAGGGAAACATGTTTGTAAGATTTTTGCAATACCTCATTCGTCTGACCGGCTAAAGCCTTGGCCAATGCGTCAACTTCAACAACCTTCTGGGCGGCAAAAGCTAGCCACGACTTGATTTCAGCATCAAGCTTAGTCTCGTTAACAAGGTCAACGGCAGTGTGGAGAAGAGAGCAAGAGGTTGAGACCACAAGCTTGTCTGCACCAATGCACAGATAATAGAACCAATGAGTTAAAGAAAGATAACAAAATAAACACTTCTGATTGTATAATCCACAAATAGAGATTCTGGAAAAGCATCATACCTTTACCAACAACACCCTCAAGTGACTGCAAGGTGATGAGAGAGGCAGCGAGGTCATTGGCCCAGATGTTTCTTCCGTCAACAACACCAGCAAAGAGGTACTTGCCCTGGGGGAAACCAGCCTTGATCAAGTCAATGGTCTTGGTACCACGAACCAAATCAAATCCAAAGGCAGTCACACCCTTCAAGGAAGTAAGAGTCTTGTATGCTTCAGCAGGGATATCAGCAAAGTAGGTCTCCACAAGAACATTCAGACCAGAGAGAGTTGATTCAAGCTCAGCATAGGCACCGCTAAAAGCCTGGAGTTTTTGACCCTCAAGATCCATGACAAAGAGAGGCTCATCAAGCTGAATCCATGAGGCACCAGCTGCCTTGAGCTCTGCAATGACTTCCCTGAGAAAAGATTCATCATTCCAAAAGTATGTCAGAAACAAATTTCTTAGCGTCAAAAATAACAAGTGAGTATTACAGCAAAAGAAATCACTTACTTGTAGACTGGGAGAATTTTGGGGAGAAGGGAGAGAAGATCAAATGACTTGTCAACACCCTTAGCAAGCTTGGAAAGAAGCAAGTAAGAGACAGGGCCAACAAGTACAGGGACGGTCTCAACACCAAGCTGCATTAACAACACCCCATTATCATATTAGAACATTCAATAGCAGACCAAAAGAAGCCTATGTTCAAATAGGAATATTAATTGAGTACGTACAGCCTTGGCCTCCTTATACTCATTCACAGCCTTGTGAGATGCGTAAGAGAACTTCACTTCAGGGCCCAACTCTGGGACGATGTAATGGCTGAATCAAACAAAAACACAAAAAAAAAGGTACGTTAACAAAACAACTCACAAATCCAATAACAATGTCATTGCAAAAACACACAAGACAAAGAGTAGAAGAAACTCACTAGTTGGTGTCAAACCACTTGGTCATCTCCATAGCTGGAACAGAGGCATTTCCTCTAGCCATAGAGAAGTAAACATCGAGACCAATCTCACCACTGGTAAATCCATATCTAGGTGGAACAGCACCAAGCATGGCTGTGGTGTCAAGCACCTGGTCATAATGAGAAAAGGTGTTGCTTGGGATATACTTAATCCCAGCAGCAGACATCTGTTTCCAGATATCAGACCTGAGATCAGCAGACACCTTCTGCAAATCCTCGGCAGTGCTCTTGCCATCCCAGAAAGACTCCAATGCAAACTTGAGCTCTCTCTTAGGTCCCATACGTGGATATCCAACAATGTGGGAAGCCATTTTTGATTCTTTTTTTTTTTGCTTTTTTTAACTACATTAAAACCACAAACAAAATAAAAAGTCAGTCAACTAAATCAAAACATAATCCTAAAATGTACTTCGTGTTCTGTAGTAAAGTAGCATCCATTAAATTAAATGACGGCTTCACCATTCAATCATTGAAAAACAAAAGTAAAAAAGTTTTTGCAGCTTTTTTGTCTTGAGAGTTTAAAGATCAAAACTACACAAACCAGAGATCTAACGCAGAGAAAGATCGCAAAACAGAGATTCTCAAGAGCAGATCTACGAATCTGATCATATAAAAATAGGCAGATCTGTGATTCGTAGAAATTTAACTCACCGGATTTAGATCTAAGTATTAAACACGAAGGAGAAACGGAATCAAACGAAATTCAAAAATGAATTGAGAGGAAAGGAAAACGAAGAGACGGAAGCTAAATAAGAGAGTAGGAAGGGAAAGAACGAGAATAGTCATGCGGAAGCCATGGAAACTCGGAAGCGTACCTCACGGAATGAGAAGAGTGGAATTGAGAGATGGCAAGAGAGCGACCGACGATGGAGAGTGCTCTCTGCTTAACTTATTTATAGCAAACAATTTACACATCGTTCCTTTGTTTCTCTCACTCTCTCTCTCGTGGTGGCTGAATATTTTTTTAAAAAATTAATATACGTACATCAAAATACGTATATTTAGGGTTTTTTTCTCTCCATACGGAATTATCTTAGTATATGATAAAAATACGTATAATTCATTTATCCAGCACGTTTAATTTTTATCTTTTAAATTGAAGGGCATGGTCAATTATGTACAACTTTTGAAAATGATACGTTTATACGTATACAATATACGCTGGTTGCTATTAGTTTTTTTTTTTTTTTTTTTTTTTAAAAACTTTGTTAGGATGAAAATAATAAGCAAGCTGGTTGAAATTAATTCTATTCAATTATTAGATGAAAATAGTTATATTTTGTTTGACTTTTGTCAACTCCTTATTGGCTAGTTAAAGCTTGAAAGAATTCTTGTAAGGGTTAAATTAAAAAGGGGTTTAGTGTATATTGTAAAGTGTATTAATTAAGAAAAAAGAGGGGTTTAATTACGGAATTAAAACGTGAAGGTGGGGGAGGAGAGTTGGTGTGTTGTGAAGAGTATATACATGAGGAGAAGGAGGTAGCGGGATTGGTGGGTGGAGCCCATTAGGAAGTTGGTGAGAGATATTCACTATTTATTTCATTTTTCCTACAAAACGACGACGTCATTGGAGTCAGTACCAACTCTTGCCACATAAATTTGTGATTTGTTTGGTAAACAAAGTTGGTGAATGATTATGAGATCCTCCACGTCCCTCTTATACCATATTTATCGGGGCAACTATGGTCCTGTTCTAAGAGTTTTTAAATATTAAAACTGATGAAAAGTTGGGTTTGGGCTAGGAACGCGTTCTCCTGCAAGAACAGTTCAAAGTCATGTTCGTGTGTAAGTGGGAGGCCGTCATTGGTCAGGAGATGTGGAAATGAAAAAAGTCTAGGTTTTTCTTTCTTTTCTTCTCTTTCTCTTACATTTATTAATATTTTTTTCTCCCTTAAGATCAATCTTCAAAGATGCACCCTTGCATATGCCCTTATATGGTTTGATCTTCAGATATTTTTTTCTATTTTTTTAATATAACAAGTGGTTTTTTAGTCTAGTTTGTGAATCAAGACTTCCTATAGGGATCATAAAAGTGGTTTATATACATTATCTTCAATATTTCAAAGTGTATTTTTGAAAAAGTATTCTAAAATAATTTATTTCTTGTTGTCTTGTTTGTTGAGTGTTTGGGCACCAGACAATCAAGTTTCAAACCAATTCGATAACTTGTCACAATATTCACCTTAATGAGGAATATACGTCTATGTTGTATGTAAAACAAGTCTAGTATGAAATGGGTAAACTAGCTGAGTAATAAGAATATCACATGCTCTATTTGGACGACTAAATAGAATATTCTATGTTTTGAATAAACAAGTGTATTTTTACCATCTCTTGCAACTTGTTTTGTAGCAAGAAATCTTTTTTAGTGTTTTCATATGCGAAAGTCCGTACTTTTGTTTTTGAACTCAAAACTTTAATCCATCAAGACGCTTAACAAGTGACTTCAAAATTAAAAACAAGAGAATTTATAGTAAATAGCCATGTATTCAAAAAAAATTAAGAAAATAGTCATGAGCTACAGTACTTTGTCTGTTAGATGTCGGAAAGCACGTGAAATTACACACATGCCCTTAATAACATGTTTTTTTCTCGAATTACATGTGATAGAATAATATATCTCTTTTTATCATATTATTTTCCGGTTTTACATGTTATTTATAAAGAGCACATGATATTTAAAAAAAAAAATACTCTATTCAGTTTAATATCTTTCTCTATCATGTTATTTTATAGTAATACACGTTTTTTATTATGATCACATGTGATTTTCTTTAAAAAAATATTCTTATTTTCTAGTAATTCACGGTTTTTATTAAGATCACATGTTATTTCTTTGAAAAACACTCTATTCAGTTTAATATCTTTCGCTATCATGTTATTTTGTAGTAATACACGTTTTTTATTATGATCACATCTAATTTCTTTAAAAAACGATTCTTATTTTCTAGTAATTCACGATTTTTATTAAGATCACATGTTATTTCTTTATAAAAAGATTCTATTCAAGTTTAATTTTTCCGTAACAATGTTTAAAAAAAAAAAAACACTACGTAACAATGTTTTTTCTTAAAAATTCACTACGTTTTTTTAAATAGCATGTATTTTAGTTAAATATAACATGTGAAATTTAGATCTTACGTGCTATTTGAAAAATATCACGAAACATTGTCGCCTACTGTATATCTCAAAACAAACGGAAGATAGTTTTGTTATTTCACCTCTTCAGACAAGGTGGGTCCATGCTGTTTTCCGACAGAATTTTCTCTCTCTGCTAGTTTCTTAATTTATATGTCAAATTTGGCTAGTTAGTAATATTACCCTAAAAACAAACACAGATATATTTGTATCCGGCCGGTAATTTTATCTTTCTTCACGATATCCATGACATCGGTCTATTCCAAAGCATTAGTAGATCAGTAGATGCATATGCCTTGCTATGGTTTTGTCGGCTGTCGGTGGGATATAGATAAATAACGCACGACCATCTAATGAGACATTTGTTTTCGTTTTTTTTTTTTTTCGCTAATGCCTAATGTACCATGCGTATTCCAAAATTAAAAGAATTTGACAATATTTCGACTAATAGATACTTGTGCGTCTTGAAATATCTTATACTACAGTAAATACCTACAATTTACTTTCATTTTTTTGTAAGAAAGTTAAATGAATAAACACATTTACATATCAATCCTACGAAATATATTATAAGTTTTTATTAGCGAGATCATCGCATGCTAAAGACGATAAAGTTTCCGAACCTTGGATCGAATAATGGAAAATAAGATATTCAATATATAAGGAAACTACAAGAATCTCAGAAACTTTTATTAAGGAAAATTAAAATTCATAGATCTCTATATATATTATCATCATATATCCATATAGAAAATTTTCCAAAATCTATATAAAAGAAGAAACGTTTCTCCGCCACCCAAAAACCTCCCAAATTTTTTTTCCCTAAGGTTTCTCAAGAACAAGAACAAATAACAAAACATCTTTGATCTAGATCGATGGAATCATCTTCCAATCACATGGTATGCGTACACTCGTAATAGATTGTAAGATTTGTGTATATATATTTATGCTTATTTGAAAGTGTGTATAAACCTTATGTTTTTAAGCGCAGGCATGTCTCTTGAAGATAGAATCTCCTACACCGGGATGGAAGAAATCTTTGGAAAAATTACTCAAGACCATTAATGGTTTCATAATCTATCACTTTTCTCGTTTAATTATCTTAATTTTACCATTTCATTTCTTACTTTATTTTCACTTGTTTTCATCCTTTTCATAATTCTACTCTCTTTTTTTTTTTACAGATGTGAGTTTCATGATTGACAAGCAAAGCAAAACGGTATATCTATCTGGAAAAATCGATCCACAAGTAATACTTGAAAAGATTACAAAAGCAGGCAAAAAAGCAGTTATAGTATGGAGCAATAATGGACAGAGTAAGCAGCCGGAAAATCGAAAAGACCATTTGATGGAACAATGTTATGCGTCGGGATACATGAATGTTCCTAATGGTTTCTCAAACTATCCTCCGCCTAATTATTGGATGAATCAACCGCAACCATACAACCACACTTTATGTCCTCCACCACCATATACACGTCAGCTCCATCCGCAGCCACCACCACCACCACCGTACGAATTCCACCAGAAAGAACCGGTGGCTAAGAGTTTTCCGCCTACACCAGTTCCGCCTAAAAACTTTACGATGGGAGATTTGACACTAGGTTGCATGATAATGTGAAAACTTACCGTGTTGCATGATTTTGTCTTCTTTTTTTAACATTCGTTAATGTCAGTTTGTGGATCATAACAAAGATTAATGGTTATTAAGGATCTTTTGAGATTCTCCTAAAGTAACGTAAGACTTCTCGGAAACTAGTTAGTTTGTAACACAGTCTAGGATTCTTGTAGTATCAGAAGCTTCTAATTTTGGTCTGAAATCAGATCGAGATGTGCTGCTTTCTAGGATCTCAAACGTTATCAGTCTCAACTCTGCATCTTCTTCTTCGTCGGATGATCATTTCACGGCGAGATCATATGCTAAAGACGATAAAGTTTGAGAGTATGGTAAAAATGTGAATTAGTGTAAAGCTATGATGTGTTATTGCTTTTGAATAAAGTAATAGTACGTTAAATATAATCCCATAAAGTGTTCAAGCATAAGCTTCACATTAATAAGATCTATGTATGAAAACTGAACCATTGAAATAGAGACAGTAATTAAAAGGTACTAGAGTCCAATCCTTGCATTACTTTCTAGTTCCTACTCTAGATAGAGTTCACATACCGAACCAAGCCTGAAAACAGATCCGAGATAAACCAACCATACCAAAAAAGGCCAAAATTAGTCAGGGAAACAAGAACACTATAACAGAGACCACTAATGTTGATTACCCTACGAAACCTAAATCAGAGGTAAACCGGAGGAGCTAGGTTGTCGGTTTAATCAGGTACAAATCAAACCGAATCATACTAAAGCACTATGTTTCAGCTTTTAGTCTTTTACTTTTTCTTCAGCTTCCAGAGTTGGTTGGTTGTTGTGGTTAAGCTACTTGCTTCTCGCCTTTTCCAGATCAGGAAGATCTGACCAAATATAATGTTATTAGTATGATCAGTAATAACAAAAGGATCCAGATAAAACATATATTTTTGGAAGTGTACAGGATAATGTTTGATACTAACAAAAACTGAATCACAGGATAATGCCACTAATACTTTGGCCTTTCACAACAATAATCCATCAATCTTCACTTAGTCTCTACTTGCAGGTATGCATAGATATAATTTGTGCAAAGTACGTCATCATTGCAATAAGAAGATCACGATTCTAGAAACTTACAGAGCAATCCATCGTCATCGCTGCTTTCACTATCTTCATTAACGAACTATGGAAATAAAGAGGGAAACTAATCAAACAAGGGTGGCTTTACTAGACTGCAATAGAAAGAAATAGGCGATTACGAGAAAACACTTACTGCACTCTCATCATCAGAGGCCGTTTCAGCTGAAACAGAAGCATAAGAAGAGTCTATCGTTAGAAACAATTTATGATGAAAGAGATCAGAATACTTGTGATTTTTCTAGTCTTTTGAAACGAGGTTAGACAAAAGGAAGATCTGCTGTATCCAAAATTGGTGTAAATTTACATAATTAAGCATGTAAGAACAAGAGAGATGGCAGGTTGGGTGAGGGCACATCCAGGAAAAAAGTGAAATCCTAATCTTTGGAAAGTTATTTTTTTTTTTTATATACGAGAAGATTTAGGATTATCATCTAGAGATTGAACTGAAAAGAGAACTTTGGCTTGTAACATAAGTTTTTACGACTTACATTTGACCTCCTCATCCTCATCACACCATTTATTCCAGTCGACTTTGATGTAAGGTGCGGGTTTCTCTTCCGATTTCAGCAGTCGTGTCCACCAGCTTTTCTCTTCTTTCTGAATTGAAAATATGATGTTCCTTAGCCCTACATTCTTCCGATATTCCTGCATCATACATATTACATAGATTTGTAAAAAGAAGTATATGTGGATACTAAAAAAAAAGAATAATTGACCCTAAGCGGAATGAGTTATATCCAATAAGAGAATTCAGATAAAAAATTAGACCACAAAACTTTGACACAAGATGAATTTAATTCTAATATGTCGCCACTTCCATAGTGTTTGTAGCAAGAAAATCCAAAACAAAGATAAACCAAAAAACCAGAGAGCCATAACATAACAGTTCGAAACATCTCTAAAGCGATAAATATCTAATTCAGCGATCACAGAGGTGACCTCAGGCAAAGGTCGGTCTTTTGCACCAAACATTCTAATTCCTTGTAATGCAACAATTGGAAGTTGTTGAAAGACAAGGAATTTGAATGTGTTGCAAAAGACTAGCTGAAGCTAACTAGATATAATTATCGATTTAGAGATGCAATGATTACTTTCCAATTGATATTTTACAGTTGCTGCTGGTTCATGTACTTACTGGCATAATCTTCCCATATAACTCCAAGCTGAATTCAAAGCGCTCGCCTTGGGCACCAAGAGCAGAGAAACTGAAAAGACCCCGAGGCTCACACTTGACCGAAATGTCTTTCGCATCAGGTAAGGCGACGGTTAGGTAAACCTTGTCAGAACGCTGAGCCCAAAGAACCTCCGGATTACGACTGCACACAAGGTGAAACAACAATTTAGTACGGCGTCACTCTACTCAGCGGATTTTGTGTAACATACCACCCCCAATCACACAACCAAAACAAAGGATTACGACTAACTTGTTATATCTATCACGAAGATTTTCAATTTTGAACTTCACAAGTAAAACAAAACTCAATGCTTTTACAAATTTTAAACATGAATGCTGAAGCCAACCATAAAATGTTGAACAGAAACAAGTGAAAGTCATTATCAAAAAAGTTGTAAGATCTGTGCAAACAACTCTCTCATCATCACAAAGAACACAACTCCCTGTAACTACTGAAAAACCCTCTAGTAAAAGAACTTAAAGGTAAGGGCTTTCTATAGTCTGGTTACAGAAAATGTGACGAGGAAGTCAAACTCAGCTCACAAATCACCCATTTTGTGGATTAAGCAAACATACACACAAATCCAATTCGAGATTTATAATTCCTTCAGATAATTTCAAAAACCCTAGAAATCGAACAGATACCTCATGTTTCCAGACAAGTGTATAGACGGTGCCGAAAGTATCAACGACGGACGGAGGATGGAGGAGAAAAAAGTTGATACCTTTGAAACGATCTTTCTTAGGTAAAAAACCCCTCTAAGAGTGAAGAAGGAGAAGAGGTATCATTTATTTACACATTTGGCCCTAATAGTTATAGAATATGTCATATAGACCCATACCTTCACAAATTTATTTAAAAAGGATAAAAAGGTTAAACAAAAAAAAAAAACTCTTACAAATACCACCCCCATTTGGCCACAATTAGAGATTTCATTTCACAATTTGGCATTTTGCAGTAATAATAATTTAAGCTAAGTTACTAAATAAAAACAAGAGCAAAATGGACAAAGAGGGATATTGAAATGAAAAGACAACATGTGTCATAGTTTGTTTCAAATCATAGTGCGATGATGATGACACATGCTAGCTACTTGCAAAACACTTACACACAATAAGCAAAAGAAAAAAATAGTCACGAGATTATTTGTTTTTGCATAAATTAAAAAATTCCATTACGTTGATTGCAAATTTCTTCAACTGTTTATATGGCATCGTCAACTTTCATAGTAACATAATTTTCTGACACATTACTATTCTTAATGTATTCTAAAGTCGAATAATTAAAATTAAGGATTAGTTTGAGGATGTGGTTGATAACTTAGCAGATGAATATTTGATCACTTCACAATTACGACTCACCTAACAAAACAAAACAAAAAACAAACCATCTAATGCTGAACAAACCATCTAACCTAATTTATTACACACCACAAGACGAAAATGACACACACACACCTTAATTTAGGCTCTAACGTACGTCTTAATTAACCTAATATATATTATGATTTCGCTTTCTACAAATCATTTTAATGTAGTGTCTATATATATATATATATATGTGATAAAAACAGAACATAACATAAAAATAATAAAATAGATATCATATACTTGTTAATTTTCTTTTCGTCTACCAAATTAAAGATCAACCTTTTCTTTTAAGAAAAAAGAAAATCGAAACTGGAAATAAACACATTCTATTTCGTATTCTCTAAAGTTGGCTAGACGATTATAAATTTATAAGCTGCACCAGCAATTTTTAGTTTTTTAAAAAATATATTTTATTTAAACCAATATTGAATACGACATTGACTATTGAGACATGCAACCAATAGAAAAAAAAAAACACAAATCAAAGAATGAAATACACAAAATGAAGGAAAACATGAGAAAACTAAAATTAAATATTTATTCGTAAACGATGCACAGAAAAATCTAACAGAAGAAGATGTATATATAAAACTAGGTGGACTAAAATTTGACAAAATGTTGTTTTCTTCTGTTTGTAAGTATTTGCTTTACTTGTTTTTTTTTTTTTTTTTTGGACAAAGTCTTGTTTTCTTATACCTGCAAATATAAATCATAAAAAAACTGCAAGATAAAAAAGATGTGGAATCACTCATGGCACGTGAGTATTCAAGAGATTAAGAGACATCATGCCTTAGTTTCAAATTCTAAAATATGATTATATTATATAAATAGTATTTCCACAAAATGAAATACAGATGAGTTTAGTTAAAATTGTTTGTTAATTTGATTTCTCATTCCTAGCTTATTAGATAAAAACATGGATTAGTAAACTAGCATGTTATTAGATTGTATGTGAGCTAATTTGTTATTAGATTGTTTTCTTGAAATTTGAAAAGGTCGGAGAAGATTGGGACCTACATGTGTCACTTTAAAAGTCTGGTGTGACCTTTCTGATGGAGATGCCATCGTGCGAAAGCTTGTTGAATTGTTGAACAATTTTAATGTACAGCTTTGATAGTTACCAATCACAAAAGCTTTATGAAAAGTGGTATAGATAACATAAACAGTTTTTTTTTGGACAAAAACAAAAACAAATTAAAACGATTATGGTTAAATACGGTTATAACAGTTACGGTTAAATACGGTTACGGTTAAATTTGGTTACGGTTACGGTTACAACAGTAAAAAACAAGTTTTTTTTGGACAAAAATAAAAACAGATTAAAATAATAAAAACTATATCAAACTAAAATTAGCTCTTCACTATTTTTTAAGCATGACCACGGTTACGGTTATTACGGTTACAGTTAATTAATCACCAGTTACGATTATATATTTTTTTAAATGTAACATTAACTATTATATATACGGTTAAAACGGTTACGGTTAAATACTGTTACGGTTACAACGGTTACGGTTACAACGGTTACGGTTAAATACGGTTACGGTTACGGTTAAATACGGTTACGGTTAATTAACGGTTACAGTTAATATATTTTTTAACCGTAACTAATTATTTTTTACAGTTAACGGTTACGATTTCTAACCGTTTTATACGGTTACGGTCCGCTTATGGTATGAAATACGGTTACGATTAGCTTTTGGTCATGTCTACTATCTTCGACTAGGCATGACCAAAAGCTAACCACAACCGTATTTTGGACCATAACCGGACCGTTTTTGTATAATTTTATTTTTTTCATAACCATTTAATTGTCATCACATAATTTTGAATTTTCATATGTAATTATATATTAAAATACATTTCTATGTAATTTTTTTTTCTAAACTCTTAATATTATTTATTATTTGTACCGCTATAATGTTTCCAATCAGAGTAAATTTTAAAAATTTGTTCTGCTTTATTTTTTTGTACAGCTTTCGTGTATTATTTTTTTTGTACAGCTTTGCACTATTCCCTAATAGCTAACAGCTCCAGCTAACAGCTAACAGCTTGTTACCAATCAGACCCAACATTACGGTGTGCCACAACTTCACTTTCTTTCTTATTTTCACCTTAAATAATTACCTTTCAGATTTAAGTTTTTGGATGGATCTTGTTTATTTTAGTTTGGTTTTAAGACTAGTTTTGATATAAAAAAAATCCGGTGTAGTTATTGTACTTTATATGTCTAGTTAATTGATTTCTTTGTTTTCAGTTTTCTTACATGATCAACAAAATTAGAATTACACTGAATTACTCGGTTTGTTTACTTATTTTTGATTCTTGTTTTACAAGACTTGTTTGCCTCGACTTGTAGTATTTGTAGACCATCCCCCTAAACCCTAAAAGAATATTTCTGTTATCTTTACTTTTTATCTTTTTTTTGGGTCTTTTTACTTTTTCTTGGCCACAGCTTTGGCTCGAGTGGGTGTCTCTTTGGTCCCTATTTTTTTGAAAGTGATAAATATAATATGAACATATTTAATGCTGATAAAATAATTTAATTTGTGTACTGTATAAATAGTGAGACAACCAAAAATAAAAAGATCAGAAAAAACGTCGGCCAGACCCTGTGGGCTGTGGGATTCCTTTTTTTTTTTTTCAATTTGTAAATAAATGCATGTGAACACTTTCAAGATTATTTTTGAACAAAAATTCTGTTTTTATTTTGTTTCTTTCTTTTTAAATAATTTCAAAAGGAAAATTTATCGTTGTCTTCCTCTCGTGATAGAGACTTAGAGAGGAGGACCAAACTCTCTGTCGTTAGCTACTGACAATTTACTAAATCGTATGGTTGCTAAAATGTTTTTACATTGATTTTGCAGAATTTTTTTTGTTTGTTGTCTTTTTATTTTTTAAAAATAATAGTTTGTTGGGTTAATATTATTCCCAGAGTATCCTCTGTTTTATCCTTGTAAAAATATAATAATCACTCGTGAAGGAATCTTGAATGTTTTTAAAGCTCCTTGAGGAATTTTCATCAGTTACAGAGGATTTTCTTGGGAACTTTTCACACTTTCTTCTTTAAATCAAGTTGCTACTTTTTTTCTCTTATAATAAAATCAATATTCCATTCACAGTTCCTTCATAAGTTTGCAGAGGTATTTCTTCATCTCAAAGGCAACTATTTGTCTTCTCATTTCTCATTCTTCTTTTTCTGATCAAACTAAATTTCTTTTCCAGGAAAATAAAATTTAATCTCTTGTGCTCAAAAGTTTCCTGCATCTTTTTTTTCTTGCAAGGTGTCGTAAAGAGGAGATTCTGTAATCCAGGTGGTGAGTTCTTCCTGTATTTCTGGAATTCACATGCAAAAATCATATTTTCTTAGTCACTTAACTAATTTGAAGATTGATTTCTAAGATTCTCTTCTGTTTAATTTAATGCATTAACGAGAAAAGAGTTAAAAGATCAAGATCTTGAGAGTGGACCCTGTTCTGAATTTTTTGTAAGTACATTATATGTAAATGTGATTCTTGAATTTAATGTGTGTGTCTCTTTGCAGGTTTTGATGATGATGATGATGCTTCTGTGATTTTATTACTTAAGTAGTTGTGTGTATTTGTGGCTATGAGGAAACTCTTCTGTGGCATGCCACTACTGCTTCTGGTTCTGCTTTTAGCTTCCATTGATGGCTCTACACAGCTTCAATCATCTCAATCTCAAACTCTCTTGAGGCTGCAACAACTTCTCTTCTATCCCAAAGTGTTAAGCAGCTGGAACAACTTTACTGATTTCTGCAATTCTGAGCCAAGCCCTTCGCTAACCGTGGTGTGTTATGAAGATAGTGTAACGCAGCTTCACATTATAGGAGACAATGGAACTCATATGTTACCAAAGAGTTTCTCAATTAACTCGTTTGTAACTACTCTTGTTAAGCTCCCTGATGTTAAAGTTCTCACCTTTGCGTCTCTCGGGTTATGGGGTTGGTTACCTCAGAAAATCAACCGTTTATCCTCTTTGGAGATTCTCAATGTGAGTTCTAATTTCTTCTTTGGACCAATCCCTCATGAACTCTCATCGCTCGCTAACCTTCAGACGCTTATACTCGATGAGAATATGTTTTCTGGTCAGTTACCGGATTGGATTGGTTCTTTGCCGAGTTTAGCTGTGTTGAGCTTGAGAAAGAACGTGTTTAATGGGTCATTGCCTTCTTCACTGATTAACTTGTCAGGTCTTAGAGTTCTTGCTTTAGCTAATAACCGCTTTAATGGAGCTTTACCTGATTTAAGCCATTTGACAAACCTTCAAGTGCTTGATCTTGAAGGAAACTCTTTTGGGCCGTTGTTTCCTCGGTTAAGTAACAAGTTGGTTACTCTTGTACTCAGCAAGAACAAGTTTAGATCTGCAGTTTCAGCTGAAGAAGTGAGTTCTTT